TCCCGAAACCTGGAAAACTGCAGAGAGAGCAGATCTGGGGGCAAGTATAATGGCATTTGAACTGAACATGTGTGGACATGTCCCTAGAGTGGTGGCAGGGACACAGCAGATAAACATTTGTAGATTTCAGGAAGATATAGCCTATAGACGGAGCACCTTGAGCTTTACAAAAACCTTGTCACTTCAACCCAGAGCAAAATGCAGTAACCAGAGGATGAGATATTTTATTCAGGGACTCCATGATCTGAAGACATAGGCAGTCTCTCCTCTAGCCACGTGTCAGCCTGTCCCTTCTTCCCTTGAGGACACTCTCACTGAGCTACAGATCACACTCTGGCAAGACAGACCCAGCGGTTTCCAACCCTGGTTTTACTGTGTGGTACAAGTCCCCCCAAAATGAGTTCACTAAGTATTTTACTGATATGTACTAAATTTATTAAAATATTTCTACTCTTTAATTTAGTTTCACACTTGGAATTCTCTTCTAACAAATCAGAAATGTGAATTAAGTTGTATGTATAAAAATATTCATCTAAGCAAAATTTGTAATACTTAAAAGTTGAGAAAAATCTAACAATGGATGAAATAAGATACATGTGATGGGACATTAGCCAACCGTTAACAATTACATCATGAACCTATATAGTAATATAGACCTTGTAAGTATAAAAACTTTTATTTCAAAAATATATTGGCAATTTTTTATTCTGATGAAATATACAGTACATAACATAAAATGTACCATTTTATCCATTTAAAGTATAAAAGTCAGTGACATTAAGTACATTCACAGTGTTATGCCACCACCATTACCATCTGTTTCCAGAACTTTTTCATCAGCCTAAACAGAAGTGCTATAACCATTAAAGAATAACTAGAAAACTTTATTTTTAAGAATTAAACCATTTTAATTTTAAAATTATCCTGTAGGTCATATTATGGAGGTCAAATGAAGGCAGAAGCATAAAATGAAACTTTGAAGGGGAGCAGAAAGATAGGTTAACCTGAACCCAAGTCAGATGAAATGGCAGAAAGGATTTTTGTCATTTAAAATATAAACACTGGAAACCATAAGTGCTGAAACTGTTGACTCTGCCCCAGTGTGGGTTGGGGGTGAGGTGCATGTGTCTGCACTGCTTGGAATGCAGCTCACTGAAGGTAATTGGCTCTCCCTGCTGCCAGAAGTGCTGAGGGGACAGGACTGCAATTCACAGGAAGCCCTGTCTGTGGAGAGATGCAGGAAAAATTCCCCCAGGAGAGACATGTTGCTGTCAGTACCTCTTCCCTCTGTGTCTCGTGCTCTTCCATGTCTTCCTACATGGCCTTCCCACTGGCCCCCACCCAGAGACTCTCCAGGATGCCTCTTGATTACTGTCCTCCCGCTCCTCTTGCCTCCCAATTCAGCAGGTCAGTGGGTAAGCATTTATTGAGCACCTCCTATATAACAGGCACTAGGTACTATGCTCAGATATAAAGATACAGAACCCAAAGTCTACTGTGGGAACAGTCCTGTAATCCAACAAAGTTCAGTATAGTGGAGTCAATGAAACGATGGAGACATATACAGAGACTAGAACTCACCTAGATTAAGGGTGTTGGGAAGACTTCCTGGAGGAGAGGGCATCCGAGCTGCACCTTGAAGAGGGAGAAAAGTTACTTGGGCGATAAAACGTAGGACAGGCACCCTAGGCAGATGGAATAGCCGCATGTCCCATGAGAGAATGACTCCACCAAATACAGTGTGCATGCTCTTCTTGTTCTCAAAAGTAATTATCATCATTGTGCACTCGGGGTGGTATAGGGGCTGAGTCTTATTCAGTTACATGCACAGAGCCTTGCACAGTGCCCACTACATAGAAGATGCTCAGTACATGCTTGTTGAGCTGATTTGAAATAAATGGTGGCGTTCAAAATCAATTTTCAATAGACCTCATTGTTAAGACACTTCCATAGGACTGGCCTGGGACCCGAGAGGTATCTGCCCCACCACATCCTATCCTTTTTGGTGTCTTACAGCTTTTCCTTCCATCTTTTCTCCTCTGAGCCCTGGGAAGATCTGATGAATGTACCCTGACTTGCTTTACCTAGGTTATCTATTTTGTCTTCCCAACTCTCTGTCCCTGGAATTCTCCTTCCCAGCCCTTACAGCCAGGCAAAGCTAGAGATTGGTCTTGTTTCTACAACCATAATTCACCCCAATACTGACTCAACAAAGGACACTGTCACAGTGATTATATAGATCACTATATAGCTCTCCTGCACTGTAATCATACTGACATTTATTGAGTGCTTTCCATGTGCTAGGGTGTACTTACCTATCTATACTAACCTATTTAATCACCACAAAAATATGGGTCAGTTACTCTTATCATCCTTGTTTTACAGATGAGACTTCTGAGGCACAAGGTCTTTGAATAACTTGCCCAACACTGTATACCTAATGGAGGTAGAACTGGGATTTGAGCCTAGAGACTGGCTCCAGAGCCTGTGCCTTATATTATATCTAAACTTTTATTTCCATCACCATAAACCATCCTCATCCTGTAGTCACCAACGAAGAAGGCTAGAGGATCTGCTCCTCATAGTGCAGTGTTCACAGATGTGTCTGTGTAGATTTGTGGGGGGCGACTGAAGGTGTCTATCACCTGGTACATGGTAAGCCCTATTTCAGTGTTTCCATGTGGATTCTGACAGGATGAGCAACCCCTCCAATTAAGTCTTTTTAATTGAGTCTATTAAGCTTTTCTAATCTTTCTTTTTATCAGTGCCCACCATTATTAAATTTGACATGATGCCTTAAAGAGCCTGAGTTACTCATTTTACGTATTACATAGGAGATATCATACATTTGTCACCTTTCTCTAATCTAGCCCCCTAGTTGTAGTGGCTTAACCAGTCAGGCAAGACCATCTCAGAGATTCTCCTGAGTTGAGTATTCCCTGACCTAAAGGTACAAGTTGTAGAATAGATAAAGGCATCACATTAGCAACATTAGTCAGCCAGGAAAGACATGTCATGTACCCATTTAATCTGCTAAGAACAAGGCCATGGGCATTCATTCGTATTCTCCTTCATTTAGTCATTTGCTCATTTGCCTGTGCTTGTTGAGTGCTTCCTGTAGGTAAGCCAGGCAGAATTCTAGGTACTGGCAACTGTGGTAAACAAACCACAGCTCTGGCCCTTCTAGAGCTTATATTCTGCTGGGACAGCAGATAATCTATCAATTAAAAAAGAAAGCAGAGCAAAATGATGAGTGGTGAAGGAAGAGGTCTCTAAGGAAGTGGCATTTAAGCAAGCACTTGTGTAAAGTGGAGAGAAAGGTAAAGTGGAGAGAAAAAAGATTCTTATGTTCATTCATCTGCTCCTTCATTCACTCAGCAGACCATGCTGGAACCTGTCTACACCTGCACTCTTCTTGTTCCTGTTATGGGGTTGACGGTGCTAGGGATGAGGGCTGGGAGCTACAGAGGATGGGCAAACCCATATGTACCAGGTGAAGTGATGTTTATTCTTACATGGACAGAAATATAAACCAGCAGAATGGTGTGCAGGTATAGGAAGAAGCTAGAAAATATAATCCAGAATAGTGGGGGTTTGGGAGGGTTCCCCCCCTTTTGACCTCTTAAAAAAAATCTTAACCAAGCAGAGTTATGAAAAAAGAAAAAAAAATTTCTGAAACAATTATATGTGAGAAACTTCTCTAAGTTTTTAAAGGATAGCACTTCATTAGAACAAATTGATAATCCAAATAAGAAAAATGACAGATTCCGACAAATGAGAAGCTATTTTATGTTCTTTTTATAATGCGGTATTTTTCGATAATATAATAATTTTTCTGGCATTCTTAATTATTTGTAGGCTTTATGCTTATTAGGAAAAAAACTGTTATTTTCCTCAGTTCATAAGGTTTTATTTATAATTGACTGCCATAGGAAATCTATCATAACAGTTTATAGCCACTAGAGTTATCCTAATAACCAACATCTATGCTGCACACTACTGTTGACAGAGTGGTGGAGTGGTCCTATGTAATTGATCTAATCTAATTCTCACCCCACTCTTATGAAGTAGACAGTGGCTAGGTTGATTAATTATCCATAGTAGTAATAGTTATCGTGGCCATGGTCTTACTATCATCCCATTTTACACTCGAGGAAACTGACTCTTAAGAATATAAGTGATAGCCGGGCTCGGTGGCTCAGCCTGTAATCCCAGCACTTTGGGAGACTGGGTGAGTGGATTGCCTGAGCCCGCAGGTTCGAGACCCGCCTGGGCAACTTGGCGAGACCTCATCTCTACAATAAATCAAAAAATCAGCCGGGCGTGGTATCACGCACCTGTAGTTCCAGCTACTCAGAAGGCGGAGGCGGAAGGATGGCCGGAGCCCAGCAGGTCGAGGCTGCAGTGACTGGGAGCGGCCACTGCACTCCAGTCTGGGTGACAGAGGGAGACTCCAACTCAAAAAAAAAAGAATATAAGTGATTTGCCTGGAATCTGTAAATTAAAATTCCACAAAGAGAAAACATAATTTTAAATTCTGATGTTATAGTGTGTGGTCTAAGTATATCTGATATGCAAGAATAAAAAATCTTAACTGAGCATCTTTAAACTCCATTTTCATCTAATCTGTTATTGTCAGGGTGGGAGGTAGGCAGTGGTTAAGAAAATATGGTTAATATTTCCAAACAGTGCAATATTTTCCATTCTTCTTAGGATTGTGTCTATTTTAGAAGGTCAATTAATTGTCTCTCTAATTTTTTTTGGTTTTTATCGTAATTGATTTTATGGTGTATTAAATTTGGGAGGAAAGTGCTTAAAGAATGGAATGTTTATCCTTGGAGCCAATTTTTTTCTCTTTGGGGACTTATTTTTTTGTTCTTTCAACAAAAGCTTATTGCATGCCAGGAACTGCAGGAGGTCCTAGCTCTTTGGCATTCACATATCTTTGGTGAGCAACATCCTTATCTTGTGGCTGATGTCTGCTGTGTCTGTCCTCTCAGGTGGGGTGACTGCTCTCTGTTGGGACCCAGTCCAGCGGGTGCTGTTCTCAGGCAGTTCAGATCACTCTGTCATCATGTGGGACATCGGTGGGAGAAAAGGAACAGCCATCGAGCTCCAAGGACACAAGTAAGGCTGCTGGTGCTTTCATAAAGAACTGTGAGGATAGATTCCCAGCTGACGGCTAGAACAAAGGAGTTTGGCCCAGTATCTACTGCAGGATCTGATCTTGGGAAGAAACATGGCAGGAACACAAATAGTGGTCAGTTGGATTTGCATCTATATGAAAGTGCATTTATGTATATAAGCCCCATTTTATTCCACAGAGGATTTGAGAGTGCTTACAAAAGCCATAAAATAAGGTGAAAATTAGAACTGAAAATAAATAAGAATGAAAATTTGAGAGTGAAGGGAAAAAAGGCTTAAAAATACAAGCTGTAAAGGCCTACAAAACTTCTATAGTTAAGTTCAAATGTGACTTCAAGCTTCCTGGCAGCTTGAGGAAAAGAGGAGAGATAATAGTTTTACACAGTACACTTTGTACTTGACCTAATATTTATTGAGTACTTCATATCAAGCTCTTCTTCCTTGAGGAATGGGTTTTAGGAGGCTGACAGGAAGAGCAGAGAAACCTTGTGATTCCTTGGAGCCGTTCTTAAATTTTGTTGGGCACAAAAATAGCTGAGGAATTTGTGAAAGGATTCTTGGGCCCTACCTTCTAATATTTTGGGGTTGCTGGTCTGGAACTTGGAAATCTGCATTGTGACATGCCCTCCAGGCTGTCGGGGGAGTGGGGAGAGAGAGAGAAAGAAAGAGAAATAAAGAGAAAGAGAGACAAGAAGAGACCTTACTTGGAGTCCATACTGGTATGATACCTTTGTGCCCTTAGGAGAATTTACACAGGTAGGCAGGCAGGTCTCTGAGGTCAGGAGCCATCAGGCAGAACTGGCTTTATACAGGCAGAAGGGAAGAAGGCCTTTGCCCGGTGCTTTATTTAATTTAAGCTTAGTAATACATAACATGAGCTTTTTGAGGTCTCCTTGTCAGCAGGCCTTACCCTGAGAGGGGTTGCTCTGGCATCACAGACAAGGTGTCAACTTCCTCAGCATTAATCGGTGTTACTGTTAGAATGGGTCTGAACACCAGGGTGGGAGAGAAGCCACCAGAGTGCTGTACATAGTAGAATGATAAAGGAATGAAGGGGCAGGGAGTGCCAGGTGGGAAAGGAAAAGGAATAGGACCCCTTTTACAGCAACCATTCCTTCACCCAAAAAATGGGCCACGGGATTGGCATTCAGTGATTCTTACATTTGAATAGCACCTAATAATGTGTCAAAGAGCTTTCAAAACATACAGACTCAGTTTACTCTTACAGTTGACCCTATAAAATAGAGAGATCAGATATCATTGTTTTGGAAGAGAATATTGAGGTCCTGTCCACAGAGACCCAGCTGGTAACTTAGTTGCCAAACCTTAGTCAAGTCTTGGCAGAGAGCTACTCAGTCCCTTCTGAACTCCAGCTCTCTACCAACTCTGGGAATACTAAAGTGAGCACTGATGATACCTGGTCCCCATCATGCCGGGTGATATTTTGTTTCTTTTCTGCTTAGGACCCAAGCTGCCCCTTTCTCTCCTTCAATTCCTGGATTTTCCTCCCCACCCCAGGGTGACTAATGGAGGTCAGTGTTCCAATTCAAATGGAACATAGTGGGGTGAGCTTGGGAACTTGGGGAACAGAGAGGTCTCCCCATGGTGGAGAGACTGCCTTTCCTTGGCTTGCAGATGTCCAACCTTTGTGTTAAGGGACAGTGCCACACGTCTTCTGTTCTGGGTTCTGCAGCTTCTTACCATCCTTCCACAACAGAAAATAGGGCATTCTCATAACAAGCTTGATTTGGTGTGTAAAGATCTCATCAAGCAGAGAGAGCTTTTGCACTAAAGAAAGTGATTGATGACAGTGAAAATGTTCCCAAGTCCAAGAGAAAACAACTAAGAAAGTACACTTTGATACCGTATTACCTGCATTTGAAGCATTTTGGTATTTATTCCCTGAAGCAAATGGAGTGTGATTATGTGCCGTGCTAGCTCTGTGGGAGGGATGGACAAGAAAAGGCTCCAGTGTCAGGGACCAGTTATGCCTTCAAGTCTCATAAGCCTGGACATTTACTGTCCAGTGCACACCTTGTCATATCTAATCATGGTACTTGGCTTTTTTAGCTCATCTTTATTCTTACATAATATCTATTATTTCTTGACCAACTTCATGACCATAACTTTTCTTTCTAGTTGTGTTTTCTTAGGCTTCTAAGACTTGGTGGCAATTTAATACAGCTTGATTTAAGGTACTGATCAGAACTATTCTTTGTGTTGGAACCTCCACCAAGACTGGGTTCAGCAGGTAGTGTGAGACTTGATCACAGTCATGACCCTTGGCACTCATGTTCTATGTATTTGTTTTCTCTTTCCAAAATCCCAGCCCTTGATTTCTCTCTTATTATTCTTCCCATGGGCAAGACTTTGTGGTAAGCATCCTCAAAGTCTTTTGGTAAAGAAATAGACTTTTGGTAAATAAATATACATTGAGGGGATTTGTACTTTTCCTCCCTTATACAGGGAGGGCATGGATCAGTATGCGAGAGTTTTCTCTCCTTGTGAATCTGTGAGATTTAGGAGTGTTTCCCACTATAGTGTTTGGGAACTGTTAGGATTTCAAACTATTTGGCTAACTACATAATAGATCGAAGTATTAGATGTCAGAGTTTTCATAGAGGGTAGGATCTTGTCAGAGAGAGAAAGGCTATCTAGTGTGGTCATTAGCATGCAGGCCTGCAAGTTGGGTCAAACTGCATTTGAGCTGGCCTGTCTGCTCACGGCCTATAGCCTCAGGCAAGGCACTGTACCTCTCTCATCTCTAAAATAAGGATCAAATGAGAAAGAAAAACCTTCACATGGTTATCAAAAAATATAAATGACATAATGCATGTAAAATAATCAGCCCCAGGTTAAAGGCCAAGTCAATGGCAAATGTTAAAATTATTCTTCAAAAAAAATTACACTTTTGGATATGATATTGTTTCTCTCCATAGCATTTCATATGGAAATACTGTACATATTCATTATTCATTCAATAAGTGTTCCCTGAGCTCCAGCTAAACGCCATACTTGGTATTAGGTACTTAGGACACAAAAGTGAGAAAGAAACAGTCCTGCCCTTACAGAACTGTTCTAGAAACATGAAAATGGATTTAAAAAACAAATCAACGAAAAAACTGGACAGTTTGCCAATTTCACTGGGAAGTGGGGGTAGCCTTTCTTGATTGGAATGTTAGGAGATGAAGAGATTCTCATAGTTTTCAGGATTAGGAGATTACCCAAAACAGAATAGCATGAACTAAAATACAGTGGGTTCAGTAGATGCAAATGGACATTGGGGCAGTGTCTAATCTGAACTTTTACCCTAGCCGGCAGGATGTCACTGGTGGTCAAGCCAGTGTCCTCAGATAGGAGTCCCTGAGTTCGGGTTCAGAATGGCAGATGCCCAAGGGTCTTTGAGGAAGCAGATCCTTTTGGGGTTCCTTTAGCTTGGGATATCCTTATCCAGGAGCCCTCATTTGTGTAGTTTGCTCATGAACCTGCTCTGGTCCTTGGAAGTTTGAAAGACTTATAAATATAGGAGAGTGAGATCTCTGGTAGCAGATGAATAACTAACTAAATGTCCACTAAATGTCTACAAAGAAATGAACGATGTTCTGCATTTAAGTCTCGTCCTCCTCTTGGGGCATGGAGGAGGGCCTACGTTAACCTTTGGACAGATGTTAGTTTATGTCTGAGAATCTATTTCTCTAAAGAGAATAAAGGCTTCTCTGCCCTCTCCCTCAAGCATCAGACACAGGACCCACTCCATGGGCGTGTCTGTGCAGTCATAAAGGGCCTATTCTTAGAAGCACTCTGTGCTTGGTATAATGTTCTTCTGTTGCCATCTTGTAATTCTTGATACATTTTTAACAAGAGGCTTTGTATTCATTTTGCACACATTCCCTCAAATTACATAGCTGGACCTGACAGGCATATATTGCCCCTAGAACTAGTGAGAAAGGAAATGAAGGCATCCCACCCCAATGTAGTATTCATAGACGCAGGTCCTGGTAGTTGTAAGAAGTGGGGCTTTTGTGCGCTTATGAAAGCATTTGCAGGGCAGTACCTGAAGCACTCGTCCACAAAATAATAACCAGTTTTGAAATGCCTTCTAGTATAACTGCTACAGTGATGTCAGATGAAATGGGAACGTAAGAAAGTATCTTTTCATTGTTTATAACCGTTAATCTATAAACCTGGTGAGGTTCCCTCACCGAGCTTTTAACTGCATGATGGTTATACTTTGAATCCTTAAATCAAGAAGTCCCTGGGCAGCTTTATTATCAAGCTTGGAATCCAGCATTCATCATTGTGCTCCTCTCTCCTGTGTGGGAATATTAACAGCACTGGAATCCCATAAATTATGTATTTGTTGCCGAATGTTGCTGCCAGATATGAGTGGCAAAGCAGTTTCTTATGTAGCTTATTTTGGTTTTACAAGATCATTGATGTGTATCAAGATGCCTCAACAAATGAAATGTAGTTCAAATCACAGAGTTATGAGTCTGTGCAACTAAATAGATTTTCCCTCCTGCCCTTGAGTGTTGGGGTGGTACTCCATAGTTGAAAAAATGTGAAATAACCAGGAGAGATAACGGGGAAAACAACTGACTTTTTAAACGTGAATACATGTCAAAGATTTTATATTAGTCATTAATTAATAAGGGAGCCAGTAAGATGTTACAACCAGTCCAAAGAAAAATCTTGGGTAGACACCCCATAAGTAGTGGAGAATTCGAGAATGCACTTGTAAGCTGGCTTCTCCTGTGGATGGGTTGGGGCGTAGGGATTAATTGCATCTTAATTGAACATGATTTGTTTGCAACAATATCAGTTTTCAATGACTTATAGAGTTGTAAATTAGCTTAGGTAAAGATACTGAAGGGTATAGCCCCCTATAGAATCAGATAACCCAGAAGGGTGTGCTAGATAACACCTGATGTTCCACTGAAAATACCAATCTCTTTTTACCCATTTCAAGTCTCTCACAGTTTATATGACAGCTCTTCCCGCCTCCTATGATCATCATAATCTCAATTATTATCCTCAATCATAAAAAAGGGCTGATCTCAGAAGGGTTTGCCTAATTATTTACATTGGTGCAGTAGAGTATTAGTTAACCATGTAGGCCTTCTTGGTTTTACTTTGCATTTCTGGAGCCACACAGTATTCAGCAACTGTAAACCCAGAAAAATCAACTTCTGCCTGGAAGTTTTTATCAGAAATCTTGGATTGGAGTCTTCAAAGCCTCTGTTATTTGCTCTTCCAAGACTAGGAAACTAAGCCCAAGAAACTCTTTACCATATTTCACCTAGAGAACTTATCATGGTTGGATTCCTCATTGGTTTCAACATTTGCTAGGTGCCTGGCCTGGTACCTTCCTTACCATGTGTAAGGCCAGGACCTTGCAAACCAGGTACCAGGCCTAGGAGGGCTTTGTAGACTTTGGCTCCATGAGTTCTTCAAATGGCTAGTCATATGTGATTCTATGAACATCATTCACAAATATGATTGTACAATTGATTTGCCCAGTTATATCTTGTGAATAGAGTCTCGTTGAATCAGTGCAAATAACTATATTGCCAGGAAAATTAAGGAGTCTTCATAACAGTTTTTAAATTCTGGGCAATCAGTGAGAATTGGGTATCATTTTTAAATGTTTTTATTTAGCCTATAAAAGCAGAGTTTACTAAATTGTAGGTTAGAGATAGTTTAAAAAGTAAGAGAAAAGGCATCCTCATATATCCAGAAAATAGAACATTAAAACAGCATTAGCAGTAGTTCAGACAAATAACTACAGCAAACTTTCCCTCTTCATTCATTTCCATGAACGAACTGTAATTAATTCTTATTCTGATGGTTCTCAGTTTAGCAGTTCACATTCATGAAGCCTCCAAACTAAAAAGTATCCGAAATCCAAGGAAATCCTGACTCAATCCACTGGCAAAGCTTAATAATTATTTAAGGAATGTCAGCTCAGTAGCCTGTGCTGTAGAGTCTGTTCTGTAGAATATCAATATTTTAAAATACCTAGCTCATGCAGTCCTTTTCCATGAAACTCTGAGGCTTTCCTCTATTAAAGTCACAAACTCTGTGAGTAGCAGAGCCTTCAGGCGAGGATCAGAGTAATATAAAAATTGTCTATAAATTATAGAGATATAATGACTTTTAATGGTTACTTTGTTACTGTGACCAATCATGTCAAAATGGGGAAGAATGAAGTTCTCTGCTGGGGTGCCCTATGTAACTCTTTCCTAAGAGTTTTAATCGACAGTTCAAAACTCTGAATTGACAAGACTCTGAACTGAGGACTCTAGCAAATCTCCACAGTTTTCAAATAAAACATAATTACTAATATTTGTATACTAATAACATTTTACTTATGTTGACTTAACCTTGGAAAGGCTAAGCCTCTCTTCTGATCTCACGGTTCCCATGCAACTCTCAAAATAGTAACACATTAAACAAATGCAGTTATTTATAGCTTCTCTCTTTTTATAAGGTGAAGGAACAAACATTTATGGTTTTCCAAGACCTCTCTGGGAAATCTCAAAAGGGAGTTTTTGGCGTAAAATATATCCCCCAAATTTTATTTTATTTTATTTTTCCAAAAAGTGAGTTCAGTTTAGAAAAGGAAAGCCCAAAAAGGTGTCAGAAGAGTTTTAGCTTGATTACTCAAAAAACAATACCTGGTTATTTATATAATCAAAGCAGTAAAACATTTAAAACACTTTAAAAAAACATAGACAATATCACAGAATTGAGTTCTTTTCTCAAGTGAGGACCCTTTGGTTTTTGTTTTTCCTTAAATAATCAAGGGCATTAATCAAGTCAACATAAAGCACTGAAAATAATTCTGGTGAGACATAGAGCCTCTGCTAGCGAGGCACATTCCAAAGAAGGTAAAGTATATCCTCTCACGTTGTAGTCAAAGGCATTCATCAGTAAACCAAGGAAGCAAGCCGTCAAAACTGAGGGAACTTGGCCAAAACTGTGATGCATTTTATTGCTTTTCTTCCGACTCAAGTGTTCTAAGCCAAAGCAAATAAAATTTACTTTCCAAGTTTTGTCCTTCGTTTTTCTCTTTCATATTCCGGAACAAATGGACACTTTAGGATTGCTTTTTTCGTCTTTATTCTCTCAAAAGTATAAGTGGAGTTTTCCAGAGGTTACCTGATGAGTGATATCATGATAAATGCAGAAAGAGATGAACATCCGGCTCTTCTATTAAACCAGACATTAGAAGACTTGCAAAATGTTAAGCAGTATCATTTTTTGTTTTGTATGTGGTCTGTGTTGAAATGGAATGGATTCATCACCAGTATTTTGAAATATTTTCAAAATTTCTGAATTTTAATTCCGCAGAGAATTAATAGTGACACTATTTAAAGCAGAGCTCTTTAGTGTCCTCACATAAGGTTAAAGAATGTAAAAGGGATTCTGAGACCAAAAGTTTAAGAACCACTGTTTTGAGATGAAACTACTCTCTTTTTCTTTCAAAGCCAAAATACATACACAGTTGTAGTTCTTTTTGATTTTCGTACCTGGTAGTCTAAACTACTTTAATTATAGTAATTAATGAAAGTAACTAACTTATGCTTGATAGAGAAAATTGGGAAAAGGGAGGATATGGACAACTGAGAACTGTGACATTCAAGCATTTTAGCAGACGAGCAAAGCTCAAGAACACATGTAACTGAAAGTTTCACTGTAACATAAAACATTTTACATCTCCTTAATGTGGCAAAAAAAAATGAATGAATTCATTGACAACCCAAAGTCATAACCTCACTATAGCATATAAAAATAAGAAGCAAACATACATAAACATAATATTATACTTTGTAATCAAAATCACAGTATACTAACATAATTAGAAATTATCTAGATATCCAAAGATTATCAATTAACTCAAGTTAACATAATGGCATTTTAAGTTACCTAAAGGTCTTGGAAATTAAGTGGATATACTATAAAACATTATTACTGTTCACATAAAAAGTTTGTCAGAATAATTATGCAGTCTAGTTGAGCGTTATATTTTCAGTAATTTTTTTTTTTTTTGAATTTGAGTCTCACTCTGTCGCCCAGACTTGGAGTGCAGTGGCCGCTCCTGGCCACCACAGCCTCGACATGCTGGGCTCCGGCGATCCTTCCGCCTCAGCCTTCCAAGTAGCTGGAATTACAGGTGCGCGCTACCACGCCCGGCTGATTTTTTGATTTATTGTAGAGATGAGGTCTCGCTGCCCAGGCGGGTCTCAAACCCTCGGGCTCAGGCAATCCACTCACCTCAGCCTCCCAAAAGCGTGGGATTGGAACCCAGCTTCCAGTAATGTTAAACATTATGTAGGGGTAATATGAACTTACTTGAACAGTTATCCTGAATAAATTTAGGAGAAATAAACCCAAGTAAAATAAAATATACACTTATATTCAGTACTGATCAGAGAAAGCTGTAACTTTTTAAAAATCTATAATACATACTGATTTGCCAAATGAAACTTAATTTTATGAACTTAGATTCTTAAAATATTTCTGAGTTGGCTAGCAGTTTTCATAAAAAGAATTAGTATTTTTAAGTCTATCACATTTAAAATATTAGAAGTTTGAGTTCCTTATTTTCTGTGAATTTTAGGAGGATTTGATTTATATAAGCACTTGTTTATCTCTATAAGCTGACCAAAACAAGTTTTGTTTTGTTTTGTTTTTATTTAAAAGGTGCCATAATCTAATTTATTGATACCCTCTGGAAATAGGAAAGCATTCTATACACAATAAGAGTTAAAGGCTTTTCTGGATTGTAGACACATAGACATACAGACCTTCATAGCTTTAGTTTTACAACTTCAGCCACTGGTCAAGAGTAAATACAGAAACAAAAAGACACCAATCTAGATATCAAAGACCTGTTCCCTCACAGAAGACAAATTTCTGAATTTATTTGCACTCAAAATGGCCAAACATATAAAGAAAAATGGCCAAGAAACTAGATATTCTGTTCTCTCTCACCCAACAGAGAATAGAACCCTATAATCCATTGTTTGCAATCACCTCATTGTCAGACCATCAACTAAATTCTCTGTCATTTTTGTCACCAAGAAGGAATAACTTGTCAGCCATTCACAAACTACAGAGAAAAGTCAAACACAGAATCAGGAAAGAAGGAATAAAAACTAGAGTAATGGAGAGTGAGTGAAATTCGAATCTGGTGCTGCTCTGGATTCTCTACGGGGAGCCAAGGAAAGGCATGGCTGAGCTCAGGCCACCCATGAGGCACACACCTCAGGTCACACAGTCCGCCTGGCCCTGTTGGGTAAATTCGTTGAGCATCTCAATAGATGATCTCTGAAACTTTTAGGATAATTTTTTAAAAGGTAAAATTGTAACTTGAGCAAATATAAAATGAACATGTGCTACAGATTTTAATTAAAGAAGGAGGGGCCCAGTAAGCTGTTACAACATGCGCAACAATCAACTTTGTCCTTGAGTGTTGATAACTGACAAAGACTACCTCAACCTGACGCCTGAGCATATTAAAGGAGCATTTAGACTTACTCTAAATCTTGGATATTCTCCTAACCGGCAGCATGTTGGAAATTCCATCAGGTTTTTGAAATCTGCATCTGGGCTCAGGAGTAAGCGTGCACATTGGCTGACTTTGCCGAGGTTTTTACTGGTAGATCTTTCCTTTTTTTTTTTCTGACCTGTTGCTAACCCTTGGTTTCTTTGACAGTGACAGAGTCCAGGCCCTCTCCTATGCACAGCACACGCGGCAGCTCATCTCCTGTGGTGGTGATGGTGGGATTGTTGTCTGGAACATGGACGTGGAACGGCAGGAGGTGGGTGTCACAGCAGGCTGGGTTGGGCCCGGCAATACTGGCTATACCTCCCCTCCTGCTTATTTCTTTCTTCTTTTATGATTAAACCATGAAATAAGACATGTCATATCAGAGAATTAAAAATTATAGCGTAAAAGATGTTTCTATTTATTTTAATCTCACAAATTAGCATGTAACATTAATGTGATGGAGATTTCGTAAGAATTTTGAATGAGACTAAGCTGTTTAGTCTTTAAGTACAGGTGAGAAAAAGAACCATCTATTCTCTGGCAATTAGCCCTTTGGTATAAAATACCTCGCAAAACTAAAAACTCACATGCTCTGTTTTTGAAGTAAATAGTGGGTAAGATGAAGAATCCTTAGTTTGGCATTAATAGAAATATTAGAAATTTTTTTTTGTTTCTATATGAGTCATATTTCAAATAGTACCCCAGATCTAAGTATATACTTTGTATTTTTAAGCACATATTTAAATTTTATCCCAACATTCTTTTTTAATGAGTTTTCTTTTTAATCTTTGAGCATTTTAACAACTAATAACGTTTACTATATTCTTTGACAAGTACTTTGAAGTTAACCGTTTTCTCATTATCCTAGAATTATTCTGGGTAGACTTTCCCTTTGACAGTGCACATTCTTCTGATTTATTTCTTGCAGTATGCAAGAATTAGACAGAAAAGCAACACTTCAAAAAGACAAAGCAATCTCCTACCTGCTTCCCAGGCCCTCACCCCAATCTCATGTCAAGAGTGTCATTGCTATTACCCACAACATGATGCCTTGCAAATGCCAGTGGTTAAATGCTTAAGAAGATTAAAGCTTTATTTGCTCAGATCATAAATCCAGGGAGATCTCCTAGTAATTAAAATGATCGTTACAGTTAGGAAGTGGAAATTGTAGAATATTACTTTTGAAATACTTGGCACCATTAGTATCAAGGCCAGGGATTTTTACAATGAGTGCTGGTTATGCTCACCAGGCTCCCGTGGACTGGTCATGTTGTCCTGGGTTGACTTCTGCATGGTAACTTGCTCTTGGTTAGGGACAGTCATACCTGGTCTACCCTGGCTTCTTTTAAAGCCTAACTGGCCAAACCAGAGTAGGGGAAAATGTCTAGATTCTTTTGTCTCAGTATAAATAGACTCCACCCTTTATGGGAGGGTAGCAATGTGGTGTCCAGAGACGAAACCAGGTGGTTGCTGGGCAGTTCTTTGGGCCATTTTACCTTACTTAAATAATGCCTCTTAAGATGCAGATATATGAATGCCCAATATTTGTTTACTGATTTTAAATCTTGTTTACTGAATCAAATCTCTAAATAAGCGGTGGAGATGGTTTCATTCATTTTTTGCAAGTATTATATTTTACAAATTTTCTGAGATTTAAAAAAATCTCAGTGTCTGTGAAGCTCCTTCCTGGTTACGATAAGCACTGTGTGTTGTTTACCCTGGGAAGTCTGAGGCATACGATGAAGCCAACCCTAACCTGAAGTACTCCAGACTTCCTGGAAGAAAAGGCATATAGACAGAACTACTAAATGGCATAAATGGTGAAATTACAGTGGATGTAGGATAGAACATCAGTGCTGGGTATTTCAGAAAGGATGTTATCATCATTGGCTAATGTTCTCGGTGAAGGGTTTCTGGAAGGACATGGTACTGAAAGATCAGTGGGTCTGGGCGTGCTCTGACCAGGAGCATCATAGGCTTTGCAGGCCAAGAAACACCTAGAGTAAGGACAAGGTGAACGAGAGAGGTCGCATGTGTTGTGTCAGTGCCGTGAGCAGTTTAGAAACAGTCGGAGATGGCAGATGGCTGAAAGACGAGGGCAGATGATGGAAGACCTTGAGTGCTGCACACAAATCGGGTGACATCCTGTAGGTTAAACAGGTGTCTATACAGTTTAAAAAATCCACCTTTAAATAATTTTTATCTTTTTTAAGAAGTACATATTATGACGGGGGGGCCATAAAAACCCAGAATTATCTCTTGGAGGGCGGACCCCTTGTAGTACAGGCTTTTACCCCTCTAGGTAAGTGTTCTAGGAACCCATTGGCATCAGTGTAGCAGCTAGCATTGTGAGAGGCTGCATCCAGCTTCAGTGATTTTTTTTTTTTTTTTTTTTTGCAGATTCTTTCAATGTATTTGCCCATTTCTTGATGGGCAATTTACACGAACAACGTGCAGCAGTGCTCAACACTGCACTGTGTGTTCAGCAATTTTTTGACCAAAAATGGCCTGACTCCATGCCCCACCCTCCCTATTCACTCCATTTTGCCCTGGCACCTTTTTTCTGGATGATAAAAGTCCTCAAAGGGAAACATTTTGTTGATGCGGAAGAGGTGAAATACAAAACAGCAGAAGCACTAAAAGGCATCATAACTGACAAGTTCAAAAACTGTTTTGAGCAGGAGAGAAAGTGTCTCAATAGTGTATTGCATCAAAGAGAGACTACTTTGAAGGTGACTGAAGTTTAAACACATAAGAATAAATATGCAATTTCTTATAAGTAAATTTTGGGCCCTTTTAGGTCCCCCTTGTGTATATAATACATATTCTTTGTAAAGCAAAAGCAAAGGACATATAGGTTGCCACAAACTCCCTGGTATCACACACAGCACCCAGATGACCTTGTTGTACATATCCCCTCATAGAGCTGTTGATACTTTTTCATGGCTGTAAACCCAAGTGGAATCAATTGAAAGTATATTCCTGATTTTGCTAAATAACAGCTAATAGACTATACCCTTTTATACTTCCAATTGTAGACAGAGAGTTCTCAGACACCCACATCCTCTCCAACGGTTATTGTTACTCCCTTTTGGGTTTTGTCCTTTTGGAGACAGGGATAAAATAGTTTCTCATTTTTATTTGCATTCTCTGCTTAACAGCATATTTAAGCCTCTCTTCATATACTTTAGTCATTCAGGCTTCCCTGCCTATGACTTCCATGTTCATATCTTTATATGTTCTGCCAATTTCTCAACTGTCTTGTCATTTCCTGATTGATTTGTAGGGATTCCTTGTATATTGTTGATATTTGCAAGATTTCTTTGTTAGTTATAAACTTTATAAATATAATCTCCTAGTCTCTGTTAACTTTGTGTTGTTCATACTATTTAATGACCTAAGAGTTTTGTTTTGTTTTATTATATATTGGACATTTTTCATGTTTGTAATATTTATTTTTACTACATAATTTTAATGGCATAAGCTGGTAGTTGAGAAATTGTTTCATAAATAAACATTAATACAGCCCCTCCATTCTTTAATGAATATATTAATGTGATTTTTACTATGTGAAGTGGGTTGCTAATTCATTTTTTAAGCCACTAGAAATTCTTGATTAACCCAATTTAATGATGTTATACTCTGTAAGCATCACTAGATTTATTTGTGTAATAAATGAGTTTTTGATTCTTTCTTTTTTTGGTAAATCTTCCTTGTCATAAATGTTCTGAAAAATAACAGCATAAACTGGGCCCAGTGGTGGAATGCCTGTAGTCCCAGCTACTTGGGTGGCTGAGATGGGAGGATCACGTGAGCCCAGGAATTCGAGACTGCAGTGCTCTGTGATTGTGTTTTTGACTAGCCACTGCACTCCAGCCTGGGCAGCATAACAAGACCCAGTCTCTAAAATAAAATTTTAAAAATAGTAACAGCATAGATAAGTCTTTTAGGGGTAAAATGTTCTATAGCTAAAAACTTTGTATTATTTTATTAGATCTGCCTTCAAACTAGAGAGGACATGAAAATTACAAAGTAGATCAAGGGTTATGTCTTTGTTTTTTTAAAAAAATAAATAGACCAAGAATAGAACTCTTAAGATATTACCTTTTTACTGGTTATTCTTTTTTAGGTTTATTTCTACCTGAAAGTAGAAGAGACTACGTCCCAAAATCTTTTCCATAGTAGTTATTTCTCAGAGAAGGATTATATCAATACAAAAAGGGCTTCCAGGGCCTTTACTGTGCTGCAGGCCACTGAATCTCTGTGGGGGTAGGCTATTGTTTACCATGTTTCTCAAACTTGTTTGATTTCAGGCCTCTTTTATAGTAAGTGCTCCGTGAGTCAGATGTTCCCTGGAATTCAGCTTTGGAAAACCCTGGGGTTGGATGCATTTTTAAAAATTTTTCTGGATTTCATACTTTATGGAAAGATTAATTATTTGCCAAATGATGATTTTTACAAACTTGAATGTGGAACTCTGGGAGCAAATGCATAAACATTTGCTAAACGATAGTTTTACGTTGAACTTGCTTTTCAAACCTGTATGACAAGATGTGGAATATTCACGATGGGGTCAGGAAATTGTGACCTAAGCCAGATAGTAAATGACTCACAAGGCAAGGAGCAGAGACTCTAACCCCACGGGGCCCTGCTGTGAGTGGACAATAGACAGGTAGCATCCCTAAGTATCAGCTTTGGTCTGGTCATGTTATCACATCCAAGTGGCTGTGTGTGCAGTGTGCAGTTCGATATCCTTGTCCACGATCAGAGCAAATAAAATTGCATACAATCAGAATAGAAGATGAAGTGCTAAGCCCTCAACCTGGCTGTCAAGACCTGTCCCTGCAGCCTCATCCCTCATTCCCACGGCTGTCTCCTCCCATCCATTCCTGGTCTCAGTTGTATCATTTGGCAGAGAGCCCCAGCCTGGGTCAGAGCCTTCTGTGAGGCTCTGCCATAGCACTCTGTGCTTCCCTTTCTCAGGCCTGTACACACTTAGACTTATTTAAATAATTATTAATCATATTTTCAGCTGGGCATGGTAGCTCATGCCTGTAATCCCAGTGCATTTCGGGAGGCTGAGACAGGAGGATTACCGGAGTGCAAGATCTGTGTTATCTTGTGCCTGGGCAACATAGCGAGACCCTGTCTCTACAAAAAAAAAAAAAAAAAGTTAGCTGGGCATGGTGGTGCATTCCTGTAACCTTAGCCACTCAGGAAGCTGAGGCAGGAGGATCACTTGAGCCTAAGGAGTTTGAGGCTATAGTGAGCTGTGATCTTGCTATTGCACTCCAACCTGAGCAACAGAAGGAGACCCTGTCTCTAAAATATATATATATTTTCATATGTGATCCTCCCTGGTAAATTACAAGCTCCATGATAGTAGAGATTCATTTTATTTACCACTACATTCTCATCCCCAGGGTCTGACAAATAATAGGCATTCAGTAAATATTTTTTGAATGGCTGGCTGAGAAATCAAAGCCCTGTTTCTTATAAATACATCCTGGTTCCCTAAGTTTCATCAGGGTCAATGATTATGCTGTTGTCACCACTTCTCACTGTGACCTGTTGTGTGCTTTATTTGACAAGACCCCTGAATGGCTGGACAGTGACTCCTGCCAAAAGTGTGATCAGCCTTTCTTCTGGAACTTCAAGCAAATGTGGGACACTAAGAAAATTGGCCTAAGACAGGTGGGTGGTATGGATGCCTCATCAAAATGTAATTGTGTGGAAATAACTTGGACGTGTGACTTAGAAGATATAGTGGCCCTGGGTGGGACTTGTGGTGTTGGGGGCAGGGGGTGCATTAGATTCCTGAAGTCACCTTGTGACTGCACATTGACTCTCTTCATCCACTGTAGCTTATTCCTACTAGAGCAGTTTCTGTAGTGATTTGTTCTAGGTAAAGGAATGTGATTTTAGAGTTCTTGTGGCTTCTATTGAAGTGGGCCTTAAAATTGGAGACTCACAATATTTAGCTCATATTGGTACCAAACCATGAAATTGTGTAAGTGGCATTTATTTATCCTTAATCAGTTTACTTTCCTCTTTCTGACTTTGTTTTAGTTATTAACATCTACTTATAATACAGCATTTTCAGTCTGATTTCATGGTTTGATTTGGTCTTTCCAGAGGAAATCAAGTGGTATGTCACCTAGGTTGAACATGGCCAAAGTCAGTGGATCAGGTCGGGTTTAAGATCCCCTGACCACAGGGCGTTTCCTCTGAAGTTCGTAGTGATGATAATGAACTTGGAAAGGACTGAGAGCCGGGAGAGAGGGAAAGTGGGGAGGTGACCCAGTCAAGAGTGTTCCCCAACAGTCCTTACCCTGAATAAACAGAGCCCCAAAAGGAAACATGCCTGGCGTGTTCCTTTAGTTTTCTGGGGTGTTCTCATTCTCATCCTCACCTGCGTGCAGCTGATCATGCCTGTGCCTGCCAGGAGGGCTGAGGCGTGGGCGCCATTGCCATGTGTGTCTTTTCTCCCTCCAGCACCATTGCCGCAAGTGCGGGAAGGCAGTCTGCGGCAAGTGCAGCTCCAAGCGCTCCTCCATCCCCCTCATGGGCTTCGAGTTTGAAGTGAGGGTCTGTGACAGCTGCCACGAGGCCATCACAGATGAAGAGTAAGTTCCAGTGGCCTGCAGATTGCTTTGGCTGAGGAGAGAATCTCATCTTAGGGTGTGCTCGGCATTCCAGCAGTGACTCATGTTGCTATGGTTCCCACTGGGTTAAAATATAGACCATGGCAAGGGGTACAAGTCCTACTTTGCCACCAACAGATCTGTGTTATCTTGTGTGAGAAGAGAAGAGAAAATAAGCTCCTGAAGTCCGTTTCTGTGCTCTTCCCAACCCCAGGAGTGTGTGCATATAAATGCTCTCAGAGCCACATCCTTCTGTCGGCTCATCTGCTAGAGAACCCCCTAACAGTAGAGAGGCCCAGGGTTCACTCTCCAGCTCAAGCTGGTATCTACAGGAGTCAAATCTGCCCACAGGCTCCAGAAGGTTTCATTTTCTAGGAAGAGCTAAGCTGCTTTACCCCATAGTCAGGCATTCCCAGTCACCCAGCAACTCAGCTGGTGCTTGTCAGACCTGCCCAGGAATCTGGTTTCTTAAGGTATGCACCTTCAGTGTACTTTGGAGGGTGGGACAAACCTCTGTTGTCTCTTTCATGTTGGCTAATTGAAAGCTGCCCCCAGATGTAAGCAAAATGCTCCATGACAAGTTTCCCTGTGAGTTACAGGAGGATCTTCTAGTAACTCGTCTTCCCAATCACCATGTGCTACAGTATTATCATTTTTAAGTATTCGTATTTATCCATGTCAAATATAAAGGTACCCACGCATAAGTAAGCATTTGTGTTCATTGATTGTTTTCCATTCATCATACATGGTGAAATCAATTAGAGTTCTCATTTAATTAGAGAGCTGAAAGAGACCTTAGAGATTTTCTAGTTTAATTCTTCATGTTATAAAGACACAGACCCAGAGAGTCTAAGGGACTTGCAAACTAAGCCTAAATCTTTAATTCTAAAAATTTTGAGTGACTCTTTTTAGTATATGAAGATCTATCCTACAGATTTAGCTATAGTAAAAAGGAAGAAGAAAACTATCATCAGAGAGCTCACTGCAGCGGAGACCCCTCAAAGCTTGATGAGATGGTAGCCATCTCCTTTACCAAATCCCAGTCCCTTCCCTACCTTCTGTTTCTTCTTCCTTTTCTCCCTGGAGTGTCTGCATTGCCTCTAGAGCACCTAGGCAGTTGACAAGTCTTCTTACTAAAAAAGATAGATAGATAGATGATACATACATACATGAATACATATAGATAAATAGATATGTAGATTCATAGAGAGATACATACATACATATATAGATATGTAGATAGGTTGCTTGATTTAAAAATACAAAACAAATAATGGTTGTCTATAATTTATTTTGCTTGTTAAAGCTTTAAAATATATAGAAGAACTGAGTCTTCAGTCACAGTGGAAAAAGGAAAAGAAATTACTATGGAGGCCCCTTCAGTTAGAATGACTATAGTGTCAAGCATTTTAACAAGCACACTTTTTTATTATTATTAAATAGGCAAAGGTAGGCTATTTTACTGTCAAGTCTTTTTGAGCTCAAACTTAGCAAAAACACGGTGGTTTTTAAACAATTAAACAATTTAAACAATTTCTCAAGAGCATGTGAGGAGATTGTTTCAGACTACCAGAGCAGCACACTCTCCAGAAGGACTTTGGGAGATTTCCTCTTTCCCATTTTGAAGACTATAAAAAATCCTTTACTTTTTTTTTTTTTTGAAATCATAACAGGTCGCCAGGGAATACAGGCAGATCTGAGAAACATAGTAAAGCAGTTCTAGCCACTATTTAGAGCTAGATCCTGTCCTAGATCTCTTTCATTCCTATGTTACCACCTTTCACTCTCAGAAAATGTCTTTGCTTCTTCCAGACGGGCGCCCACGGCTACCTTCCATGACAGTAAACACAACATTGTACATGTGCATTTTGATGCAACCAGAGGATGGTTACTGACTTCTGGAACTGACAAGGTTATCAAGGTACAACACCGTCTTATTAAGAAGCTTTCCATCTTTAGTCTTATGTAAATTTAAGGGAGTACCAAGGACATGTGAAGCACTGCTCAAAAGGTTCTCTTGGAGGTGAATATTTTTGCAACCTCCTGCATGCACAGCCTCATGCCAGGTGCTGCCTCTACACAGAGAAATAAGACATGGCTCCAGCCTGTAAGGAATGGAGAGCCTACCTGGGCCATGCTCTTTAAAATAATAATAGGTCATATGTGCAGCAGTCAAAAGAGTCATACAGATGAGAATTATCTTCAGAGTTCAGCACCGGGAGATGGTGCTATTAGAGAGACTTCATGACAGAGGTGGGCTTGAGCTGAGCATTGAAATGAAAGGCAGGACTTGGAGACGCCAACAGGTAAAAAACAAGATCTTTTCCCAGTGAGATCGGTTACTCCAAGAGCCTCCACTAGGGTCTCTCCAAGGACTGTGGTAAATTATGCAGATTCTGTGCCACAGCAGAGCCCCAAGGCAGAAGGGATCACCCCTGAGTCATTCCCTGAGAAACAGGGTTGCCTGGCTCACTCACTGAGCTGTCTCCTTGATCCATTCCAGACCTGTTCTTGGAACCAGATATAGGATGAGGTGGTTAAAATGACAGCACTTTGGAAGCTACTGGGCCTTTGGACTTAGAGCGAGTTTTAACTAAACTCTGGGAGCCCAGTTCCTTTATTTTTGAAAATGAGGTATCTTGTAGAATAGTCCCGAAGATTAAATAGAAAGGGTACAGTGTGTGCTTGGAAACCAATTAATTTTAGTTCCCTTCCCCCTTAAATGGATTTAATATGCCTTAGCTGGATCCATCAGCTGTATCATAATTTCAAGCAGCCATTGTTGTTTTTGAGTTTTATATTGAACTTTTTCTGAAAAAATATTTTATAGATTCAGGAGGCATGTTAAAATAGCATATAATTGCTTGTTAGATGAAAAGCATTCACTTGAAGGATTCCGTTCTAAGGACTGTCTTCAACACAATTTACTTCTTGATATCTTCTTTTTCCTCTGACAGTTGTGGGACATGACCCCTGTGGTGTCTTGATGACTCTCGTGAATCAGAAAGATAGCATTTACTGAAGAAATGGTTGTTCTAATCCACATCATTACTGGAGAGGTGAAGCAGGTGTGTGAGAAGTGAGAGCCGAAAGGCCCCGGATGGATATGCAGATGGCCTGTGTGTAGAGTGGCAACCTAGTGAGCGAACACTGGCAAGGGGGCTCTTCTCACCTGTGCATACAATATCAAAAAAGATTATTTTTTTAACAAATGGTTTATACAGTCTGGCTGTGCTGCATTGTTTTGAGTATACCGAAAAATCTGTGTGGGGTGTTTAATTTTTCTATTTTTCTACACTCCATTTTACTTGTCCTTTTGTGTGTTGGAGAAATAAGGGAATTATCTGTTCAGGGTGTCTTGGTCATTATAAAGTAGCCTTCATGTCTTTTCACTTCAGCACATGTCACATAGCCATTATCATCTCTCTGCATCTCCCTGCACCGTCTCTGCTTTTCCCAGAGTGCACGTATTTATGCCAGTTATTCCCAGGGTTTCTGCTTTCGTGTCCTCTTCAGTGGGGAGATTTGGAAAACCATGTGTGTGGATTCACCAGCTGACTTCTTGAACCACTTGAAGAATGATCTGTTGGTAATGTCTGGCTCGTTCATGTTCTTGGCTGAGTAGAAGAGACCTTGTGTTTCTGCCTCAGTTTTCTTTGTCGCTCCCACATTTAAAAAACAAAACGCGGTGAGAAAGCTGTTCCTAACCATCGTCATTACAGAAGTAGATTATTATAACTCAGAGCTTCAACGATCAGTGCCTGTATCATTTAGAATTCAGTTGGAGCCCCCTAGCCTTTTCTGTTTTCATTTTTTGACACAGCTCTCCCTCACTTGTAACATGAAAAACAACACACATAAAACCCTCCATGCTTCAAAAGTAAATGTCTTCAAGATGTGTTTTTCTGTGTGACATTGTCACTGAACTTGAACATGTTCATTACTGCAAGATTGTAATCCTGTTCTACCCCCACCCTCTGCATTTTCTATCCCTTTAGAAACTAGATATTTACACGTTTTTATCTTCATATATTTCATCAGAACACTTTGCACATTTTCATGCTAAAATGGTATGTGATCTGAGACAGAAAGGTACCTACAGCTCATGCTGCATTCCCATCGGGAATATAAAGAAGGATTTTAGAAAATGAACTTGAATCAATTCTTATTTCTAAGGGAATCCAGTCAAACTTGATAAAATGAAATATTCTTGTGCATAGTGACTTAACTCAGGATATTGAAACCCTTTTTAAAAATCTTCCTTTCACTTGTGAGGGTGGCATGAAAATTAACAAATGGCCAGCATGTGCCAGGTGCCTACCCAGCCTCAGCACTTTCATGACCACCCTTTCAACCTCACCTGTTGGGAACGTTAGGGGCTCACCAGTCTCTCCAGGGTCACCAGGTTAAACGGAGTCTTGCAGATTAATAAGTCAAGCGCTTGCCTTCCCGGTCCAAACCCTACCCCCACTGTATCTTGTTCACTTCTGATTTGACAAGGTTTTGGCAGTAGCATTGGAGTGAAGTTGAAATCTGCCCTATTATTTTTTCCTCTTTTCCCGGAATGCCGTTTTTCCCCCCATGATAATTCATTACTTTTCTAACTGAGGGAAGTACTACAAACCATCCTTAGATGCCACCTTTCACACTTCCTGGGGATGGGTTTCCTGGAGATGGTTCTGTCACCCCAGCGTTGGGAAGCAGGGCCACTGTGTGTGTCTACCGCAGCCATAGAACATGGCAGCCATCACCTGAGACAGCAGCCAGATCAGCCCATGTGACCAGAGCACTGAGGATGGATACACACATGCATGCATGCACACACATGCACGTACACACGCACACGGGAGCCCTTGCTACTTGTTGCTCTGCCACCCATGTCCACAACACCCTTGCTCACCATCAGTTTGCACTACTATAACCACTTTGAGTCTTTTCTGCATTACTGCTCCGTAAGAGAGCTTTCCAAAGGGAATTAAATTCAAAATAGTCAAATACCTATTTTATAGTTTATTACTAGAACCTGTGGCCACTTACTCAGTTGTACACAGTGGAGAACCGTGTGTGGGAAATGGGCAATAGTGATGAATCACTCTCCCCTTCCTGAGCATCAGGGCTTGGCCTATCTACAGAGAGCGAAACAGTATCAGGCGGCAAAGGCCCAGGCACCAGCAAGCCTTGCATGGATTCCCAGTTGGGTCCAAAGGAGTTCAGACCTCATCTGGGAGTCTGACTGTCCCCGTCAGACCACATACGAGTCCTGAGGTCACTCTGGCCTGTGACCCTGCTCCACTCTTGCCCTCTCCCTGCAGCATTACTGTAGCTCAGCCCACAGAGCCACTAAAGGTTGAAACCACTTGACAACTCACTGGTGATGAGAATCATGATCATAAACCACAGGCATGTCAAGGTGTCCATTGCTCTGCCCTTTATTCTCTGCTCATCTGTGTGGATGCTTGAATTTGGTGAAAAGAGCTGAGCAAAATCAACTGTGTGTGTTTGTAATACCATGAATTCTTGAGTTTTGCGTTGAGTGTTCTGCCATTTTGTAGCTCATAAAGGAATATGTGCTGGTGTTGGGTGTCTTCCAAGCATTTTGTGGACTTGGAGGCCCGTGCCTTCAGAGTGGAAGCTGGCACAGCACTTGGCTTTGCCCCTGTCCAGGTGAACTCTCCTAGTTTTTGGCTTACCCTGTCGGATTTGCACTTTACATATATTTTTGCTGTATTACTTAAACATACAGCAGCTCTGGCAAATAATGCCTCACATGACTGTGTTGGAAAAGTGGCAAAACTGCACATATAAACAGAGTTGTTCTCTACTTGTTGGGATAAAACCAACCACGTGCTCTAGGTTCCTCCAAAGGAATGACATCACTGGAGGCTTCAGCTGCCTGGGTGTGTCTCCACAGTAGCAAAAATAGTTTTGAGATGAACTACTTGGAATTGTGTGTCATTTTATATGAGGTCAGTCAACCATAATGTATTTCTCATTGGATTGTTTGAATTATTCAAGGAATCATAGAATCACAAAACTAGAAGGGGTCTTCAGAGGTCTAGAGTGTTCCAAGCAGAATACTGTAGTCATGCCAAGCAGTTAGCTATGGCTGAGGTGTAAACAAGAGTATCTGAAAGAGTGTTCAAGGAGCAGTTGCTTTTGAACACTACCTAGTTACAGCATGAGTGGGAGGAGCAGCTTTCAGCACCTGGAGACAGGTTGCTCCCAAGACCAGGCTTGTTCCTCTTATCATAAGCGCATCGATGCTTCTTTTAGGCCCCCCAGTCGTATGGTTCTGAGGGGGTGGGTATGTACGAAGTGGCAGTTACTGCAGTTCTTCATCCACTTAAACTCCTTCCTGCACATCCCCACAGACCACCCCATTGGCCAAGTCGAAGTGGAACTCCAGGGGCATTGACTGTGTTCCTGGCCCTGTCGTGCGAAGGCAGCCATGCAGCTCAGCCTACGGCATTTGCCTTTTTTAGAAAATATCGCGTTTTCATCTTCTGAGATTCACTTTTTTTAAGTATAATTTATTTTTGCTTAACAATCAGTTGTTAAGGCCCAAGTTTCGTTTTTTAAGCAAAGGATAGCCCTAAACAGTGGGTCACAGTTTCTGGACATAAATATTCATCGCATTGAGGTTCCTTTAGTTATGCCTTTTTATGGTAGTTTAATTGTAAGTACTTTTGTTCACTAATACTTATATTTTAAAATGACAGAAAGCATTTTGCCAAAATATTCTCATTTTTCCTCCTTTAAAATAATGTCAGGCTGGGTACAATGTCTCATACCTGTAATCCCCGCACTTGGGGAGGCCAAGGCAGGAGGATTGCTTGAGTCCAGGAGTTTGAGACCAGCCTGGGCAACATAGCAAGACCTTGCCTCTACAAAAAAATGAAAAAGTTGGCCAGGCGTGGTGGTGCACACCTACTCCCAGCTATTCGGGAGGCTGAGGTAGAAGGATCTTCTGAGCCCAGGAGGTTGAGTCTGCAGTGAGTCGTGATTATACCACTGCACTCCAGCCTGGACAACACAGTGAGACCCCTACTAAATAAGTTAAATGTTTCCTTGCCTGAAAGTAGATATTTATTCACTTAATTAGAAAACACAGAAATTAATTCCATTTTGAACCCTGAGTTCTGTAGAAGTGCAGATCAGCAAACTGTGTGTTGAGTGCCCACCATACACCAAGCTTTAAACTTGGCATTGGGGGTACAAGGTCTCTGAGGTCCTTTCCCCAGCTGGGCAGAGGCTACACAGTGAGTTAAGTGGATGATTTCAGGATGACTGATTAAGGTACTGGCAGGCGTGCTTGGGGTCATGCTCCAGGAGCTGCCCGGGCACTCCTCACCGGGCAAGAGGGGCTTCACAGAGGACAGATCTTCTGAGCTGAGTGTGAAAGGAGGAGGCACGTGGGGGGCAGGGGGAGGAGATGACTTTCCAGGCTGCAGAAACGGCATAAACAGAGGCCTCAGAGCTGGAGTCAGCACAGTGTGTCCAGGGACCACAAGTGGCCAGAGCTGCCTGAAGACAGCAAGTGGCTCGGCTACAGTCCTGGAGCCCAAGCTCCAGTCACCATTAGATGCTAGTGCCCTGTGGCCTCCAAAGGAGCCAGCACACAGCTCACTCAGAGGCTCCTCCTGTGGCCAGTGCAAGTCACAGTTCCTCTTTCCTTGAAAATTACTAGATTGTCATATGAAAATGATCCATGGGAACTAATTTTCAGTCTTCCTGGGTGTAAAGCCTCTACTAGAGGCCGTGAGGAGGAACTGGAGACCATTATGTGCATGGCCGGTGGCCCAGAAGGACCCAGACTAATGCCGTAGGTGGGCCGGGCTCAGCTGCCCTGTTTTGGGAAAGGACAGGCCTGGGCCCTGGCAGGAGGGAGTTGCTCCAGCTGAGCCTGGCATTGCACTGGAGCGCCCAGCATTGGTTGCAGACGCAGGTGACCATGCAACCCTCTACCTGCGCCCACAAGTAATGGGTCACTTCCCCTCACTGTGGTGAGTCTCATCACAGCGGCATTTGACAGGTGCAAGAAAAAGAGTTTATTCAATTCAGTTGCAGGCAAAGGGCGCAGGCAGCCACTGCCTGAGAGACCTGGCCCTGTCGAGGCAGGAGCACCCTGGGGGCTCAGCAGCTCCTGCATCTTGCTATTACAGTATGTGCCTTTTTCTTTGGGACCCAGGTACCCTGTGTCTGTAATTGAATTCTGAGACATCTGTGTTTGTGATGAAGCTTTAGCCCAGCTGTAGAACCAAGTACCACATGCCAACCCAACACTCAGGGGCTAAGGTTTGCCTTTTTGCCTTTACACATTATCCTTTCCACCAAAACACGTGAAAGCAGTGTCTTAAAATTAGATCTGTCCTAAATTGGAATGGGATCCCTCTCTGGTATTTCCCATCTCAGGGAACTTTATAACAGATAGTAGAGAGCCTTTTGTCAGAAATGTTAACAGGAGATGAAAGCGTGAGTGAAGGATGAATTTGATCATTGTTCTTAAGGTTCCTTCCCATCCTGTGATTCTATGATTCCATGAATCTTGGTTATTTATTATTGAACTTGCCTAAACCATCACCAGTGACCAGCCCACCCTTGGCTGAGGTCACTGGATAAACGAGACCATATTGCCATGCCTTTCTTGACTTAGGTCATATCAATGAGTTGCCTTCTGGATTTTTCCATCTAGAGCCTCGGTTTTAGAAAAAGATGGTGGTGGTGGAAATTAATCACGGTACCATCTCATTAAAAACAGATACCTCAAAATGTCCACCTTTATGCATCAAGAAGAGTAGCTGACTTTCTTGGGAGAGGAAGGGTCGGGGGATTGCAGGTTGGTTCAAAGCTTAGATTTAGATCTGGCCTTGACGTTTATGGTTCGTTTTCTTTTTTCTTTGGTTCTCTGGGATGCATGAGAGGGTGAGCTATAACTCACAAAAAGGGAAAATGGTTTGAAAGACATATTTCACTTATATACACTTTTTATCATTTAAATGAATGGCAGCCTTCTATCAGTAGCCTATGTCAATGGGAAGTGTGGACCAAAACACTAGTGTCACTGTTAACCACCGTACTCTTCTCTGTGTCCTATGCCATTTGCCTTGCTTTTTAAATGACTTTGTTTTTTGAGGTACTATCATTTCACAAAAGAAAATCTTTATATGAAAAGTACAAAAACTGTTCCTAACTGGACCCTAGGGAAGATGCTGGCCCCCATTAGTGCCTGCCTACCACTCCACTCATAACCAGGGACGCGGATCTTGTGTTCTGCATGGCCGCCAAGCTGCAGCCCATGTCTGGACCTGGATACAGCAGGCATGTTGCCATGTGGATTTCTGTTTCTTTCTCTTTTCAAAATGAGGATATTCTCCAAGGGGTTGGGCTGAGAATACAGCAAGCCTCACGTTGGGGCCGGATCCTTCCAGCATGGTCTTGCTGAGTCTCTCTGGCATTTGCCAGCTCCCTGCCACTGGACTCCACCAACCAGACCAACCAGCCTTGACACTGACTTCCTGAATGTGTTGGGTGGTTATGAGCAAGAATTTCCTGTGACACTGACCTGTCTGCATCCGGGCCTCCATGCAAATGCTGCTGAACGTTGTGAATGTGTTTACCCTGCTCACCTTCCCACTGTGTGTCTCTCTAACTAAAATGTACGTGTAGCCATTACCGACGTACAATTCTCGGTGCAGAATTGCCCCCATGTTTGGAAATAAATCTCTGTGAAAGTCTTCCTGCAGTTGTGTTATCATCATTGTTGTGACGTGTGCCACAAACACACAGCACCCTGCTTTGGTGTTCCCCCCATGGTTCTGTCCAGTTGGGGTGGGGTGGGGAAGTATCCAGGCCACTCCACCAGCTGTCTAGACCTCAAGGAGAGGCGCAGGAGACAAGGTGAGCCACCGGGCACCACAGACTCCAAACATAGCATGTGGGCTGTGGCCAGGGATGCCTTTTTATGTTCTTTATCTTTCATATAAGTCTGCTTTCTTGTATTTTCTAAGGCAATTCTGGTACTGTGTTGAGGCTGGCTCGGCCTATTTAAATCTCTGGGCCAACTGTTCAAGGACTTCAATGAGCCTCTCCTCTTCTGCCAGCGAGGAGGATGTTCTAGCAAGAGGCAGGTGTGCAGACACTGGTTTCCAATCTACAAGTGAGAGGGCAACAAAAAAGATGTGTGAACCGCCACCATGTGGATAGTTGTCTGTCCTGTGCTGTTCAGACCCCAGTCAGTCACTGAACTGACACCTGTGGGGGAGACAGCAGGTCACACACCATCCCTCAAATGACCCTGACTTCTCGGGGATCCTGGCTGGTGGTTATTTGGAATGTTTGGGTATTTTCTTCTTTTCAGGGAAGATCATGGTAAGAGAAGAAAGGATTTTTTCACTTCCCTCTGCCTAGGGGTCCCACACAGTTTGGGCACCCGGGTCAATATTCATGAAGTACGCCAGAAGGGAGCCCTGACAGGAAGAGAAGTCGGGGCCAAGTTGCAACAGATTCCCAGACGTTCTTTAAGCATTGGGTGCCAGCTGGGAGGGAGTTTGGGAACTGGCAGGTGGTAGCCAGAGCTAGGTGGGAGCCCATGTGTGGGCAGTCAGTGGGAGGGAGCAAGACTGTCCTCCCAGCTGCCCCAGGGACCTCCAGCACTCCATGGTAGCTCAAGCAAGGGTGACTTTCTTCAAGAACAGGGAAGAGAGCCAGAAGAGCCTAGCTTCCGCCAAGGCCAAGTGGGCTCCCTGACGACATCCACGCCACGCCCGCCCCCTTCCAAACTTGCCCCCTCAGGAGCTACCGGAATGGGGAACACGCCTGACTGGATTGCGGCTTACAAAGACAGGAGCAGGGTCATGGTTCCCTTTCGCATTGCAGCATTAGACAGCTCCCCTCCCCTGGGCCAGGCTAGTCTTCCACCCCCCAGGCAAGAGTGTCCTCTACCTCGCCCTCCACAGGACCTTGAGGACAGGTTATCACAAGTCTTCAAGGGACCCACCAAGTTCAGAAAAATACATGGAAAAGGTGGGGGCCAAATCAAGGGTGAAGGACTTCCTGCCACTATCTTCAGCAGGCCAAGGGACCCTCTGGCCAAGGAGCCCTCGGAACCGGAGACAATCTCACCCCGGTTTCATGGAAGGGAGGGTGTGCCTCGAAGACCCAGTTGCTGCTCCCACTCTGTGTCAGCTGCCTTCAAAGCCAGGGAGGAAGTCACCTTGAAAAGCGGCCACTGGGCCGCACAGCGGCAGCAGCGGACAGGGCCACCTGCCTCACACCTGGGGGAAAGAGGGGCCAGTGGGTTAGGACAGCATTCTCAGCAAAGGAATGGGCTTCGATATAAAAAAGAGGATCCAAAAATGAAACGGGACCATAAACAGCTCTTTCTCTACTTGCAGATAACACTTATCCAAGCTTCTTATAACCAATTTCAAAGAGCCTTGTTTAAAGCCCCTGAGGTGTCACCTGGGGAAAGAGCTGTCTGCGGACACCTGAGAGTGCATTGGGTCCCCGAGAGTGCATTGGGTCCCCGTGTCCCCAGGCTTCGGGCGTCAGCACCCAGACCGGCCCATCCCTGAAAGCAGAGTCACCCGCAGAGCCCCCCCCATCCGTCCTAAGAAACAGGTTCTTAATGAGATGCGGGGCCCACACTGAGGCCCGAGAGAGGTCAAACCTCAGGCTCTGCCTCCTCGGCTAACACATCTCTCAAATGACCCTGACTTCTCGGGGATCCTGGCTGGTGGTTATTTGGAATGTTTGGGTATTTTCTTCTTTTCAGGGAAGAGTATGGTAAGAGAAGAAAGGATTTTTTTACTTCCTCTGCCAAGCTCTTCCTCTTCTTCCCTCTGTACCCTGCACCCTAGGAATATAGGGCTGTGTTCTTGGTCTGGTGTTGCCTCCCCAGCCTGGCCTTGTGCCACAGGTGGCCCACTGCTAAGCCCATGGTACCTGCCTGCCCCTGGGCCAGGCCCACCCAGATGCTCTCTGGCTGCAGGCTACACCCTTGTTTTCCCACAGACCTCAGGGAACGCCATGTCTTGAAAGTGAGCACATTAGGAAGCAAAATAATTCTTGCATGAAGCCAAGGAAAGAGAAGAGACCAGAGAAAACAATAATTAAGAGCTTTACTGAGATCATAGAATTTCAGACACAGAAGGGGTCATATTTTTTCTTTTATAGAAGCAATATTTGTTTATTGTGGAAAAAGGATAAACTGATAAACAAAAAGAAGGAATGGGAAACCTTGTGCTGTGCTACCCGGAGATGACAACTGTCATGTGACCAGCCCTCCCAGACCTCTCTGGCCACAGACAGGTCGTCTGCACCTGAGAGCTACTATGTCACCTGTGAACAACAGATGGCAAACTGCACCTTACCCCAGGTGACAGATCCAGGCAGTGGGCTTGCTAGGCAGACTTTGTACACATCTGAGTTGTGCTGTCAGAGTGGGCTACTTGACAGTACATGAGGCTGGGGGCTCCCCACAGCCTGCCAGCACTCACCTGGGATAGGCAGAAGCAAGCCCCTGGGAAGTGAGAAGAAGCCACACTCCGAGCACTCCCAGCCTGAGTCTCCCCTGGTGCACTTGCTGATAATGTTCCTTTTGCATTTATGACAGGGTTCTCAGATCCTGTCTAATTTCTGCCAAGTCTCCCAGCTGGTCTCCGTGGGATGCCACAAGGCACCAATGTGCACCCCTTTCAATAGGGATGTGGTTGTAACAAAAATAAGATCATAAGGCATTTGCTGTTTTGGAGCTTGATATGTTCATGTAACAACAGAGTGCAGACCGTATTCTTTCTTCCGTAGGCATTTATCGACAGCAGTTTTCAGCCCTGAACAGATCTCTTCTGTACAGGTACTCCATAATGTATTAACTTCATTTCCCAGCACTGGCACTGTGAGATGAAGTCCAAGGATGTTTACACAAACAGTAAGGCTTTTGATTAATCATGGCTTCCAGAAAGACTGTGCCAGCTGTGTGTGTGACCGCCCTCTTCCCAAAACACCGTAGTTAGGAGGTCATGGGCACCCATGGGGCACCCCAGCTGCACCCACCCCCACCCTTGGCGTCCCCTCCTCTGGCTCTACACAAGGCAAGCTGGTAACAAAAGTTCTGCCTCTGAGCACAAGGTTTCTCCCTCTCCAGTGCCAAGATGCCCCCAGTTAAATGGAAATGAAGCGACCCCTCAGTTCTCATTACGCTGGTTTTAGGTCACTCCTGGGGAGAGTCAATTCTGCAGCTGCTCAGATATTTTTAGATGAAACATCAGCAGCTAGGCAATTAAAGGCTACACATACCTGGGGTGTTGGCCCAGCCGGGATGCATCAAAGAGAAATGGATGGCCGGGTGCACCCAGGCCCACTGCTCCATCAGAACCACCTGCTGCCTCCGGACAGGAGTGAGGGGGGGAGACAGGAGAGAGAAGGTTCTGCCTCTGAGCCAGCTGTGTGTGTGACCGCCCTCTTCCCAAAACTCTGTGGCCAGGACCAGCTGATCGGTCTTAGCCTCTCTGTTCCTCAGTGTCCCCATCTGTAAATGGGCGTGATAGTAGACAGTAGTGCCCACCTCGCAGGGGCTGTCAGGACACATGAGCTAGGACACAGACAGCACTGAGATCAGCTGTGGGCACCTCAGGGAGATCCTGGGGTGTCCTTAGGTGCAAAGCCAGAGTGCTGGTGACCCCTGCCCAGCCTGTGGAGTCTCAGCTTCCTCCAGGATGGGTCTTAACCAGCAGGTCTGGTTGGGCCACCGTGCCAGGTCCTGCCCCTTCCACAAGAGGCACGAACAAGCAAGAGCAAACCCAGCAGGACCCATGAGAGAGAAGGAACAGCCGGGGGACTTCCCACCCCCGATGGGATTGAATCCCCCCGGCACCCAGACCTTCCTTCTCCACGAGTCACCTGGGTGACTTCACTCTTTGCTGCTTGGGGAAGGCAGGGGTGGTTTCTGCCCCATTCGCTGTTACACCCCAGGCCCCCAGCACAGCTGGCATTGAGTGGGCGTTCAGCTGACGTGGGAATTCACTCCTGCCTTAACATGCCAGAGACTTTTCAAGAACACCTCAATTATAAACAAACAATAAAAAGCATGAGATACTCCCCAACCATTAAAGCAAACCTCAGCTGCATTCAGGCTGTGGCCCAATCCCAGGGCGATGGATCAGCTTTGCAAGAACCTCTAACTGGGGCCTCATTCATCATGAGTGGTTGGTAAAGCCCGTGTCCTCTGGGAAAACTGTGAAGTTACAGAGAAGTAATGGACTAGGATTTGGGGTCAGGGAGCAAACTTGGGGCACACTCAGAGCACACAGGTAGCAGGGGTGGAGGAAGGGAGTGTCCCAGCCAGGGATCCCCTTGGAAGACTCCCCAGCACCCATAGGCAAAGTTGATGTCACTGGCAGCTTTTCAGACAATGCGGGCGCTCAACCGGGTGAGTTTAAGGGCAGGAACTGTGGATGTGGAAGTTATATATATCCAGTTTTTAAATATAGCTGCAATAAGCTGAGATATAGCAGTACAGGTTGAGCATCCTTTATCTGGAATGCTCAGAAGAGTTTCAGATGTCAAGGGTGTTCAGATTTTGGAATATCTGCATTTACATGATGAGATATCTTGGGGATGACACCCAAGTCTAAACACAAAATTCATTTATGTTTCATATGCACCTTATACACACAACCTGGAGGCAATTTTGTATAATACAAAGGGGGGCCAAGAAACTGGAATTTACTTATTAAAAACTATGTATTTATTCTTACATATTTAAACTTCAGTCACCTTCAAAATACTCTCCGTTTGATGCAATACACCTATCAAGGTGCTTTTTCTGCTGCTCAAAACCATTCTCAAACTTAACAATTTTGATGCCTTTTAGTGCTTCTGCTGTGTTTTTGTTTCACCTCTCCCACATCAGGAAAATGTTTCCCTTTGAGGGCTTTTTTCATCCGGGAAACAAAAAAAGACACTCAGGACAAGATGGGGTAGATAGGGAGGGTGGAGCACGGAGTCATGGCGTTTGGGGTCAAAAACTGCTGAACACTCAGCACAGTGTGGGCAGGTGCGTTGTCATAGTAGAAGAACCAGTCACCTGTGTGCCACAACCCAGGATGTTTCTTTTGCAAATCGTGACATGATGTTCTCAAAACTTCCAGATAAAAACCTTGGTTGATTGTTTGATCTGGAGGAACAAATTCCAAGTGTACTATGGGGCCCTGCCCTCCAAAAGATAATTTTTGGGGTTTTTTTTGGGGGGGGGGGAGTCCCTTTTGTATTTTGAATGATTTGTGCATGAAACATTAGTGTATATTCTTTCTTTTTTTTTAAGTTGAGGTCTCTGTCACCCAGACTGGAGTGCAGTGGCACAATCATGGCTCCCTGCATCCTCAACCTCCTGGGCTCAGGTGATCCTTCTGCCTTAGCCTCCTGAATAGCTGGGACTACAGGTGTGCACCACCATGCAGATAATTTTTTTTATTTTTGAAGAGACAAGGTTTCGCTATGTTGTCCAGGCTGGTCTCGAACTTCTGGGCTCAAGCAATCCTCTCACCTCAACCACCCAGACCAGAGAGCTGGGATTATAGGCATGAGCCACTGCACCCAGCAAAGTTAGTATATAGCAAACCATTAGGAAGCAAAGGTGTAGCATTTTTCACTTGTGGCATTGTGACAGCACTCAAAACGTTTCGAATTTTAGAGCACTTCAGATGTTAGGATTAGGGATGCTCGACCAGTATAACTCTACTTTCTGTTGAGAACGGGCATGGGATCTGGACTCTTGTCCTTTCCAATCTTCAGAATGGAACACGCATACCCTTCACAGTGAGCCCAGGGAACCCAGAGCAGCATGTGAGGCATCCATCAAGTCAGCGAGCGGGGCCTGCCTGGAAAAGGGCACCCACCATGCTCATTCCCTCTGAACCGTGCAAGGCAATGGAACCTCCCTGCTGGGCTGCTGTTTTGGGGGTGCCCAGCTTTCACTATTTTCCATGTGGAGAAACACTGAGAAGAGAAGTAGCAGCATTTGTGGCTCCTCCCAGGATTGTGCTGAAGGCCTACCCGGATCCGAGCAGAGATGTGCTCAGCTCCTGGTGGAGAAGGGAGTGACGTCTTGATCAGGGAACATTTTCAGGTGATACTGTGAGCTCCCAAGGTCTAAGGAACGTGCATCCCAATGGAAGCCTTCCTTGGAAAAAAGCCCACACGGCGCATTGGTCAGATGCAGTCTTGGAAAGCCCCCTCGCTCACCTTGTTTTGTGCATAGACCATGGTTCCATCAAATGCTGTTCTCTCTGACTGGAGGTCATCAGTGTCCAGTTTCTGAACCAACATTCCTCCTGAGGACACTGTTATCTGAGTAACAAACAAACCTCGGTGACACCCTCCCATTCTTCTCTACCTGTGGAGCAGTGTGATAAGTTTTCATCATGCTGCTGTGACATATGACCACAAACTCAGTGGCTTAAAACAACACAAGTGTATCTCTTACAGTCCTGGAGGTCAGAAGACTGAGGCTGAGGTTACAGGGTTGAAATCCTTGAGTCAGCAGAGCTGTGTCCCCTCTACAGGTTTGAGAGAAGACTCTGTTCCTCACCTTCTCCAGTTTCTAGAGGCTGTCAGTCTCCTTGCCTTGTGGCCACATCACTCCGGCCCCTCTTCCACTGTCAATTCTCCTCTGACTCTAGCCCTCTTACCTCCTTCTCACAAGGACCCTTGTGGTCACATTGGGCCCATCTGGATGACCCAAGATACACTCCTCATCCCACGATCCTTAACTGACTTACATCTGCCAACTCTCTTTTGCCGTGGAAACGTGGCATATTCACAGGTTCTGGGATTAGGACATGGGATCTCTTTGGCAGGGGAGCATGGGAGTATCATTATTCTGCCCACTACAGCGGAGAGAAGCCAGCCTACGTAAACTGCCCTCTTCCTGATTTCTCCAGTTTATGTCACTGAAGCCCTTTAGGAGAGAATAGGTTCCATTAGCCTGCCCCTTCTCAGCCAAGCAGGACAGTCCCCGGGAAGACCTGAATGTCCCACAGAGCTGCCCTTCGGAGGCCTCCATCTCCAGGCTTGGCCAGTGCCCACATGACAGCCAGGGGGAGTCCTCAGTGAGGGCTCTTCAACAGGGCTCTTGGCACGTTCCCTCCCTTTTGCCCCCCACGATAGAACATTTTCCCTGTGGATGTGGACAGGACGGCCATGGCAAACTTAGGCCTCCTGCCTTCCCATCAGGAGCAAAATCCATTCTCTCCAAATACCCCAAAAGGCCAGCTCACCACTCTGGGGTCGTGTTCTTTCTCCAGGACAGGGATCAGGCCAGTCATGTGAATGTACACGCCTGAAGAGGCACAGAGCATCCTGTGAGAGCAGGCGTCCCGCAGGATCCCCCCTCCGGGAACCCAGGGTACCTGGCCACCTGCACCCACCCTCTGCAGGAGGGCAAGCGGCCACCTGAGGGACAGCCTTCTGCCTTCAGGGGATACCCCAATCCAAACTGTTCTCTCCCAGGACTGGAAGAAAGATGCCTTAGAACCTTGTGCACTGAGAGGAAAACATGTCCACACTATGGGAGTTCAGGAAGGGAAAAAGCAAACTGCAAAATGGCATGTGAGTTCCTTTGTGGTAGAAAAAATATGTACATATATAATATATATCTAGTCTGCACATAGAAAAATATGACTGAAATTTAGCAGTACTGCTTATATCTCAAGGGTGAGATTAAGTAAACACCTTTGCCTCCTTGGCTATACATTTCTCTGCCGTTTGAATATTTTTACAATGAGTATATAATGTAATGGTTATTTCTTTAATCGGGAAATATACATATAACTTTTTTTTTTTTGAGTTGGAGTCTCACTCTGTCACCCAGACTGGAGTGCAGTGGCCGCTCCCAGTCACTGCAGCCTCGACCTGCTGGGCTCTGGCTATCCTTCCATCTCAGTCTTCCAAGTAGCTGGAATTACAGGGGCGCGCTACCATGCCCAGCTAATTTTTGATTTATTGTAGAGATGAGGTCTCGTCAAGTTGCCCAGACAGGTCTCAAACCCGTGGGCTCAGGCAATCCATTCACCTCGGTCTCCCAAAGCGCTGGGATTACAGGCTGCGCCACTGAGCCCGGCCACATATAACATTTTTAACGGAATGAGAAAAGCATTGCTGAAGTGTATTTGACTTGGAGAGGCAGCCACAATATATATGGAATGAGAGGTTACAAAACAGTGGGAACAACCCAGTTCCACTTTTGTGAGGAAAGTTGTATTAAGGTGAACACGTAGCCAGAGGCTTGGTGGCCCAGCCTGTAATCCTAGCACTTTGGGAGACCCAGGCAAGTGAATTACCTGAGCCCGTGGGTCTGAGACTAGCCTGGGCAACTTGGTGAGACCTTGTCTCTACAATAAATTTTTTAAAATTAGCTGGGTGTGGTAGCACGCACCTGTAGTTCCAGCTACTTGGAAGGCTGACGAAGAAGGATCGCCCAGTCCAGCAGGTCGACACTGGGGTGGCCCTGAGTATGCCACTGCACTCCAGCCTGGGCGACAGAGTGAGAGGCTAACTCAAAAAAAACAAAAAAGATGAACACGTCTTTAAGGATGACACTTTGATGTAATCGCATGTTAATGCTCATCTCTGAATGGTGGAATTATGTCTATGTTCATCTATATTCTTATATGAATCTATTTTTTTTAAAACAATAAACATATATTGCCTTGTGTTTTAAAAAAGGTGGGGGGCATTAAAGCCCCTTACCCCAGAGTGAAGCAGGAATCCAGTAAGGGGGTTGCTTATTTTATTTTTTTTGAGTTAGGGTCTTACTCTGTCACCCAGGCTGGAATGCAGTGGAGTGATCACAGCTCACCACAGCTTGACCTCCCAAGCTCAGGCAATTCTTCTGCCTCAGCCTCCTAAGTAGCTGGTACTACAGGGTACACCACCATGCCCAGCTGCAGAGACGAGGTCTTGCTATGTTGGCTAGGCTGGTCTCAAACTCCAGGGCTTAGGCAACCCTTCCGCCATCTAAAATACTGGGATTACAAGCATGAGCCACCATGCCCGGCCTAAGTAAGGGGTTTAAAGTGGCAGGCCATGGGCTCTTTTCTGGGCTACACCTTGCAATTTCTGCGTGACCAGCTCTCAGTACCCAGCACCCAGCTCTCAGGAGCACCCTGGCACCACAAAGAGGATGTTGGAGGTAGAGACGGGCTCTGGCACCTACCAGTGATATGACCATGGCCAAGCATTTTCAGCCTTGGTGTCATTACCTGTGAAAGGGAGATAATAGCTTGCCAGCCCACCTCAGAGGGTTTTGTGGTGAAATAAAAATGTGTGTATGTCCTGTGAGAACTGAGGAGTTCTCTGGGCTGGCTGGTTTTTGTCATTCTGTTGCTGTATTATCATGTGCAATTCCGAGTCGTGACTTTCATCTCAGACAGCATTCTCAGTTGTTCACCACCCAATTTACTTGGAGGGGCCTGCCTTGTTCACATTTGTGGATTTGTAAAGTCTCCTGAACCCTGGGTCACTGACAGCCATTAACCTCCATCCAGTGGTCTTGGACACTTTCTTTGTATTCACAGCTGGTAGCTTTCTCTGTGATTTGATTTGCGAGAGGTAGAAAAGACTTCTGCCAAAAGCGATCTGCCCTATCAGCCCATCCTGACGAATTGTCATGAACGATGCCTGTGACTAAGGAAAGGACAACCGGTGGACTGGTCTCGCCCCCTGCCTGCCCAGGGCACCCCCCCTCCTCTCAGGAAAGTGAGAGTTGGGACAAGCCCCCGGCATCCTCCTCTCTACCCCGGAGGTGCTCAGGTCTTTTGTTTTCTGCTTCCGCCTCTGTGGGAAGCACCTGTATCTATTTAGACATTAACAGAGTCACCTGCAGGAGGATTAGCTGGGCCCAATCCCTGCCAAATACTCGCTCCTTCCATGAACAGCCTGGTGGTAGGTGCTTTTAAAAAACTCCCAGAGAACTTCTAGCAACAGGCCTTTCAGATCTTTAGAAAATCTCCCTTTCTCCAAGGCCAGAGAAGGGGCCCATGCCCACCCGCCTCCCACAGAGAGCAGAGCCAGGACATGTGTTTCTGTTTGCTTCTAGCCTCCTGGGCCACCAGAACACGCAAAACCCTTCACTCCCAGCAGGCATCCCTCCTCCCTGAAGAGAAGATAAAGTTGCTCTCCTTCTAGCTACAAGCAATTTATAATCCTCCAGTCTCTCAGCAGGCCTTCTGAGGCCCTTTCTTTCAGGCCAGCAAAGGGAAACACAACAATACTCTGCTAAAATAAGATACAATGTATAAATAAGATAAGTGTGTATGTGTGTGTATGTGTGTAAATATAATATATATATTATATAATTTTTTCTTAAAAGAATTAGAATTAGAGAATTTCAGAGAGGTTCACTGACTTATCCAAACTCTCAGAAAGTCCATACCAAGTAGAACACAGATGGCAAATCTCCCTTGAGTTCCTAAACCACACTGCATCCCAGCCAATGCCAAGGGAGAAGGCATGTACCCACTGTTGCAAGTCACTGTTCTCTCCCTCAGTAAACATGGTGCCTGTTGCTCCTTGCCCAGATCACACACAGCCACCCGGGGGCATATCATCAGCACACACGCCAATGTTCTTTCCTGCCCCTGGTGGCCTTCAACACCCTGGTTGCCCACCAAATTAAGCCAAAAAGTGCCTAGCGTAGTGGACATCTCCTGGAGACATGCCCTGTCCTCTCCCCTTGGAGGCTGGCCACATAGGCATCCTGTTTGTTGCAACAAACACGTAACTGAGTCTTTGTCCTGGGTCAGGCATGCTTGCCCCATGTGGCCTTGACCTCACAGACAGATGGCCTGAGCCAGGGTGACACCTGATTCAAGCTGTGCCAGTTGAACCCTACCTCCAAGGGTGTGAAAATGAGGGGGCAGCTTGACTCAGTGGCAGCCATATTTGACCCAGATCCATGGAAAAGTGGAGCAGCTGCCTCCAGAGAAGGGGAGAGAGAGAAGTAGTTGTTATGTGAGTCTGTGGACAACGGTCCCAGAGAAGCAAATGTTCACCCAGTTGCTGACTGCTCTCCTATCCTGTCCCTGTCTCTCCCAAAGGCCAGCTGTTCCTCTGCCATTGAGTTCTGGGAGGGCCGCCCTTGCAGCCATTGATAAATTATTTTTGTTTAGTCTGCCTGAGTGGGTTCTTGTTACTTGTAACCACACAATGCCTAAGAAAGTCTACACTAGAAGGTCTACTAGTTCTCCTGGGATAATCAACTGCCTTTTAAAAGAAGAATGCCTCGGGCTGGGCGTGGTGGTTCACACCTGTAACCCCAGCCAAGGTGGGAAATTGCTTGAGCCCAGGAGTTCGAGACCAGCCTGGGCAACACAACAAAACCTCATCTCTACAAAAAAAACTTTTTTTTTAATTAGCCAGCTATGACGGTGCACACCTGTAGTCCCAGATACTCAGAAGGTTGAGGCAGAAGGATTGTCTGAGCCCAGGAGGTTGAGGCTGCAGCGAGCCATGATCATACCACTGCACACCAGCCTGGCGACAGAGTGAGATCCCCGCCACTAAAAAAAAAAAAAAAAAAAAAAGAAGAAGAAGGCCAGGCTCGGTGACTCAGTCTGTAATCCCGGCACTTTGGGAGGCCGAGGCGAGTGGACTGCCTGAACCCTAGGGTTTGAGACCCACCCAGGCAACTTGGCGAGACCTCGTCTCTACAATAAATCAAAAATTAGCCGGGTGTGGTAGCACGCACCTGTAGTTCCAGCTACTTTGGAAGGCTGA